TTTTTTTCACTCAATTCATAAAACACTTTTTTAATGGAGTTTTACTATTTCTCTCTATATATTTCATTTCCTTTTCTAATTTTATCCAAGTTGAATAATCACAATTCCAGTTATTAAGCAGCAGAATATTACAGATTAACAAATCTTAAGCATAAGCTTAAAAGTCTAATTCTATAAATGAAGAATTGAAAAAAGAAAAAAGCATTCACAGTTTAGAACTTTACCTTAAGTCACCGAAATTCATTTAGAGTTTGTTTGATCAATTCCTCCTTTGGCTCTGTTTCTTTAAATAATTCTTTGTTCAAAGACTATACTAATGCATTTTAGACATTTTTATTTATATTTTTATCAAAAAGAATTTTATACTATAAAGTATAAAATTCTATTTTATACTTTATAGTATAAAATTCTATTTTATACTTTATAGAATTTATATTTTGTCACATTCAGGCGATAACTTTTTAGACTATAATTACATGTTTATTATTATTTGCTTGCTCTGACACTATTAAATTGTTATTTGTACTTTTAAAATAAAAATTTGTTGCATTAAAATGATAACTTTATTTACAGCTTGAGTGTTTTAAAAATCTTCCTGAATCATCTATGGAAATAGTTGTTGTTGTTACTGTGTCGTTAAAGTAATGATATCTTTAGCAATCACTATACAGTACTATAAGGAAATTTCTCAAATAATAATCGTCTCTTATAATTCTAGACTAATAAATTTTCCTTGTTGAGAATTGGAATATTGCACTCAAAATTAATTTTTTGTATATGTTACACTTAGTATCATAAGCTTCATCCATCTTAACATTGTCATTGTTATTTTCTGCATCATTATCCTGTTACTAGTATTATCAGTATTATGATTAACTAGTATATAAAATCAGTAAAATTATTTGTGAACAAATACTAAATTATTTTGCTTTATTAAAATTTTGAGTGAATCTGTAAATTACTTGATATTTCTCCAGTTTCATTCTCCTGAACACTGAATATAGAGAATAATTTGAACTTCATAAATATTATAGAAAATTTTCACTATTGTTTTAAGTATTGCCAGTGATTTTTGTGAAGTGACTACATTACAAATATTGAAATAGATGTGTGTTTATTACATCTTGTATATTTAATTATATTAAATACATTAAAATAAATAACCTTGTAGTTTGTTGAAACAGGATATGTCCATACAGATTTTCCCTAACTAGAAGGTTAATTGGGATAATTTTAATAACAAGGAAATGTTTCTAGCTTAAGGAAAAATCACACTGAAATAGATTTTCAATGCTGAAATGTGCATTTTAAGTTATGCAATCATTCATTTGGATTTCTCTCTCAAAAATACTCATATTCTGTTTAATTAATAAATTTGTTTATTTTAACTGGATTACAGGTATGACAGTTGGTGCTTTTATTGTAATCTCGTTCAGTTTTGTAGTATCTTCTAATGATAAAAAAAAATAATAATGTTAATCTTAATAATGTAATTAATCTTAATTAATTACATTATTAATTAATAATGTGTTAATCTTAATCTTAAAAAAATAATAATGTTAATAAATTTGTCATTTTGATTTTAACCTTCATAAATATACAAATATCAGAACAACTTTATTTACTTGAAAGTTCATTATGATGCTTTATTAATTGGATAAATATTGATTTTGAAACCATACAGTATAGTTTCAAAAACAATCAACTCCAGTTTTTCTGGGTCTTGGACATAGTAGGCTGTGAATGAGGCTGATTTTGAAACTAACCTCTAATTTTCTATCACCTTTTTTTTTTTTTTTATACCTTCTTTCTCTTATGGCTATTTTAGAAATTTATAGCAATCATCATTGAGAAGCACTAGATAACTTTTTTTATTTTTTAAGATGGACTTAGCTAGTTTTGAAACTATACACCTTATTTCTTCAAATGATAATATATAAGAAGTTTCAATATTTATTTATAAATATTAATATTAAACTTACTATGCTTATATGAAATGAAAATAAATTTTTCTTCTTGCGTGTGAAATTAAATATGTTTAAAAATTAGAAAATAAACAAGTTTATTTGTAATAAAAATATTACTTAATTTCATAATAATAATGACACTGTTTATATATTAACAAAATATTCTTTCACAATCATGATACTCATCATTAAAATTCTTGTTTCATAGCAATGTGTAAGATAATTGGTGAGAAATATGCTATATTCTATTAAGTTCTTAAATTTCTAAAAATAAATCAACATTATTAATTATTAAACTAATTGAATATTCTTATGTAAATATAATCAGAGATAATCTAAATACATTAATGATATAATTTAAAAAAAGAAGCTGCATAAATCATGTTACAATTTCTAATGTTGTAAACAGAAATTAAAAATTAACATTATACTTTGTTATTAATTTAAAGGTATTTGTAAAATGTGTACAAAACAAGTAGAGATTCTTTTTCCTATAATAATAATAATAATAATAATAATAATGAAGAAAAACATTTCTTCATTAATTAATCTATATATACAGTATAAGATTGCTTGTCCTGACTGACTGAATGACTCACTGATTCGTCATCGCCCAGAGCAAACCGCTGAACCTAAAGAGGTGAAATTTGGTACACAGTTAGGGTATGTCATGAGAATGCACACTAAGAAGGGATTTTTCGAAATTCCTCCGTGGGGGGAGAGGGAGAGCATTAAGGCTTAACCGGAAAAACAGCTTCTACTGTACTATTTTGGATGCAAATTTTTGTTTTTATCTGCATTTTAGTAGGGTATGCAATTTTTTGTTATGTTTAGTCTTCATTAAGTACTTAAGTTTATTAAACTAATAACATTTCAGACATTGTTATAAATATTTTTATATATTTCGATTTTTTAACCAAATGTTCGAACCTTTTAAAATTCGAATTTGTTATTGCATATTGGTTCGATTATAGAACGATTGTAAACGTTCCAGAAAATTGATAAAATTGAAAATAGTTTGTTTGATTCTCAGCAATTCTCATCTTTTTCGGTGGTAGGTGTTATATAACAATTACTTTGGTTGTTGAAATACTGAATATAAATGGGGTTTGCTTGCAAAACATCTGCGGGCAAAATCGCAGGTAACAGCTAGTATACAAATATTTGTATATTAATGAAGAAATGTTTGTAAAAAGTGTAACTTTTCAACAAATTATATTAAAAAAGTATATAAATGTTTTTAAAGAATTAAATAAAATTTGAAGAAAGTTTTGAATTATTATAATTAAAAATTTTATTGTTTTTATGTTAATAGATACAAAATGCAAGATTTCATTCATGACCAAATTTTATTTTGAAAGTACTTTTTTTTAATATTCTTTTAAACTTAGGGCATAAAAATTCTTAGTGCCCATATCATTGATTTCTCTGGACCTGCAATGGAATAATTGAATAGTTGTGAAAGATGAGGCCCTTTATGGACCTCATCTTTCACAACTATTGGACTAGAATTACCTATGAAAATTTCTAAAGGTTCAATACAAGCCTAAACCTGGGGCCCTCTGAGTAGTTAAGGAGATAAAGATTTATACTTGTCATCTGTCCATCTAATTATTCAAATACTAATCTCCTTTGGCCTACTTCTGGCTTAATTGTCTTACAGGAGAGGATGCCTTTATCCTAAGTTACCTTATAAAAGTTCATATAAAAATGTGCATATTTTATATTTTAGATATGAAAATTATTTGTTGTAAATGAATTTTTAAAAATTAAAATGTAAATTTTGACATTTTTCTAATATTTATATTCTAANAGGTGAAATTTGGTACACAGTTAGGGTATGTCATGAGAATGCACACTAAGAAGGGATTTTTCGAAATTCCTCCGTGGGGGGAGAGGGAGAGCATTAAGGCTTAACCGGAAAAACAGCTTCTACTGTACTATTTTGGATGCAAATTTTTGTTTTTATCTGCATTTTAGTAGGGTATGCAATTTTTTGTTATGTTTAGTCTTCATTAAGTACTTAAGTTTATTAAACTAATAACATTTCAGACATTGTTATAAATATTTTTATATATTTCGATTTTTTAACCAAATGTTCGAACCTTTTAAAATTCGAATTTGTTATTGCATATTGGTTCGATTATAGAACGATTGTAAACGTTCCAGAAAATTGATAAAATTGAAAATAGTTTGTTTGATTCTCAGCAATTCTCATCTTTTTCGGTGGTAGGTGTTATATAACAATTACTTTGGTTGTTGAAATACTGAATATAAATGGGGTTTGCTTGCAAAACATCTGCGGGCAAAATCGCAGGTAACAGCTAGTATACAAATATTTGTATATTAATGAAGAAATGTTTGTAAAAAGTGTAACTTTTCAACAAATTATATTAAAAAAGTATATAAATGTTTTTAAAGAATTAAATAAAATTTGAAGAAAGTTTTGAATTATTATAATTAAAAATTTTATTGTTTTTATGTTAATAGATACAAAATGCAAGATTTCATTCATGACCAAATTTTATTTTAAAAGTACTTTTTTTTAATATTCTTTTAAACTTAGGGCATAAAAATTCTTAGTGCCCATATCATTGATTTCTCTGGACCTGCAATGGAATAATTGAATAGTTGTGAAAGATGAGGCCCTTTATGGACCTCATCTTTCACAACTATTGGACTAGAATTACCTATGAAAATTTCTAAAGGTTCAATACAAGCCTAAACCTGGGGCCCTCTGAGTAGTTAAGGAGATAAAGATTTATACTTGTCATCTGTCCATCTAATTATTCAAATACTAATCTCCTTTGGCCTACTTCTGGCTTAATTGTCTTACAGGAGAGGATGCCTTTATCCTAAGTTACCTTATAAAAGTTCATATAAAAATGTGCATATTTTATATTTTAGATATGAAAATTATTTGTTGTAAATGAATTTTTAAAAATTAAAATGTAAATTTTGACATTTTTCTAATATTTATATTAAAACAAAAATTTATCTTTTCTTAAATATGATTTTTTAAATTTTTAATAGACAATTGGCAAAATGTGTCAACGAATGCAAATCTCAAGCTACTCAAGCGAAGAAGTAAGTACGAATAGCTTATTTTATTTTCATGAATTTTATCTCTGTAAAGATACACTAATCTAATGATTTTAAGAAATTTTTAAATATTTAAATTGAAATTATGTAATTTTTTTTATATCTATATATATAACCCATTCAACGGGTGTCCGTCTGTCCCGTAACTGTTTGATAACGGACACTAGAGGCGCCCCTATCGTGTGTCATATTTCAAACATTCAAATTAACAATTTTAATTATTATTTAAATTAACAATATAAATTATTATTATTCATTTGGCCAATAAATTATTATTTGCTCAATATAACAATATAAATAATTCAGTATATTTGTAATAGGAATTTATTATTTCAGGG